ATATAATAAACATGGTCTGATCCCCAGGCCAAAGAAATTTTTTTTTTTGTGTGGCTGTGTTATCGGACACCCTGTATGTGTGTGTGTGTGTGTGTGTGCGTGCGCGCGCGCCCCTACATATTCTTGACTAAATTCTAAGACAACTTTTTATTTGGCAAAATTTTGTCTGTAGCTTACTTTTTGAGTTATTAATAAAAATAGTTGACTTACCACGAGTCGGATATAAGAAGTAAACAGAAGTGCCGCAACTCACCGTCAAATGCGGGCGATTACGTATGGTGCCTGACGCGATTAGCTGATTGCTACACACTGTTTTCGTATTTTTCTCTGTCTCTTTCGCTTTTTGTCTGTTTCTCTTACTTATTTGTTTATTCATTCGTAATTTGTATCACTTAATCCGTGTATCACATAAACCACTGTCAATCACAATGAGTTGCGCTGCTTCTGCCTACCTCTTGTATCCAACTCGTGGTCAGTCAACTATTTTTATTAATAACTCAAAAAGCTTCAGATAAAATTGTCAAGTACAAAATTGTTTTAGAATTTGATCAAAAATATATATATATTTTCAAGGATAACAAGTTGTACACACATACACTTATATGTATACGTATATGTACAATTATATGCATGCACGCACACACACGCGCGCGCGCAACACACCATTACACACACACACACACACACACACACACACATACACAACTCATAACCAAAAAAGGTGTTCGTGTAAATTACCTGTGAGTAACATAGCGACCCATATCCTCTATTGATTTTCGATACTGATCTTCAAATGTGTCAAAATTATGCAAAGAGATTCCCATGGCGGTTTCTAAAAGTATATTTACCGCAAGTATATTATAATATAGACGATATAGGATATTATACAGATATGAATATATATATGTAAAGAGTGTTCAAAAAGTTCCGGTACAGCAACATAACTCGAAAATTAAAAGTTGAACAGAAAAGTATTTCAAACAAAAGTTGTAGGACTTTTCCCTGGCTATTACCACGTGATCTTGGATTTGACCTTGACCTTGACCTTCAAGGTCATTTCAAGGTCAAGTCGTTTTTTTAAACAGAGCTTTATATTTTTTACGCCGGAAATGGAAAGAGCAGGAAATTTTACGTTCGGGTATGACCTTCACTAACCCTCTTCCTTGACTTTGTAATCAAGGGCAAGGTCAATAAACAGCCGGTTAAGTCAAAGTAGAGGAGGAACCCAGCCAATTAAGGTAAGGTAGAGAAAGAATCCAGGCATTGCCTCTATCTATCTTGTTTATTGTTTGACCTTGCTCTTGACTACAAGGTCAAGGGAGGGGGTTAGTGAAGGTCATACCCGAACGTAAGATTTTTTGCTCTTTCCATTTCCGGCGTAAAAAATATGAAGTTTTATTTAAAAAAACGACTTGACCTTGAAATGGTCTTGAAGGTCAAAATCAAGGTCAAATCCAAGGTCACATGGTAATAGCCAGGAAAAAGTCCTACAACTTTTGGCTGAAATGTTTTTCTGTTTGACTCTTAGTTTTCGAGTTATGTTGTTGTACCAAGACTTTTTGAATACTCTGTATTTAATATAAGATATTATAATATAGATTAGTATATACAGAGTGTTCAAAAAGTCCCGGTACAGCAACATAACTCGAAAACTAAGAATCAAACAGAAAAATATTTCAGACAAAAGTTGTAGGACTTTTCCCTGGCTATTACCACGTGACTTTGGATTTGACTTTGATCTTGACCTTTAAGGTCATATCAAGGTTAAGTCGTTTTTTTTTAATGGAACTTCATACTTTTGACGCCGGAAAGAGCAGGAAATTTTACGTTCAGATATGACTTTTACTAACTCCCTCCCTTGACCTTGTAGTCAAGAGCAAGGTCAAGAAACAGCCGGTTAAGGCAATGTAGAGAAGGAATCCAGCCGGTTAAGGCACGGTAGAAAAAGAATCCAGGCATTGCCTCTATCTATTTTGTTTATTGTTTGACCTTGCCCTTGACTACAAGGTCAAGGGAGGGAGTTAGTAAAGATCATACTCAAACGTAAAATTTCTGCTCTTTCCATTTCCGGCATCAAAAATATGAAGTTCTATTAAAAAAAGCGAAGTGACCTTGAAATGACCTTAAAGATCAAGGTCAAGGTTAAATCCAAGGTCATGTGGTAATAGCCAGGGAAAAGTCCTACAACTTTTATTTTATTAAACTCTTAGTGTTTGAGTTATGTTGCTGTACCGGGACTTTTTGAACACCCTGTATATATATATATATATATATA